ACCTCATCATCTTCCCAGTCTACAACGGTTACATCCTGCAGGTGGGGCCACCGAGTCAAGATTGCGTCCACCGACCTTGGTGCTCGCATGGGGAGATCCGCTAACGTGAATGCCTCCGTTGGTTCAATTTCCTCGTTAGTGTCTAGAGAGATGAGTTGCAGCCTTAACCTACCGGCAGTCATTACCTGTGTTCCGCCCACCGTGCTCACTGCTAACGACGTCGCACCTTTAGCCAGTTGGTGTTTGTCGGCAAACCGCTCTTTCACTAAAGTGGTGTCGGATCCACTATCAACGAAAGCCAACGCCTTGACTAACCCAGTCGGAGTCACTACGCCCACGGCCACTACGCCTAAACGTACCGGTTTACTGGCAGATTGTGAAGTTGAACAAATCACGCTGGGCTTGGCACTCGCCTCGGATATGGTTACTCTCGCCTGATGCAGCAGCCGATGGTGTCTGCCCGTGCAGCCCTCGTAACCACATCGATTCCTTGTTCTACAGGCTGCTGCCCGGTGCGTGGTGTTGAGACAGATGAAACATGCTCCTGCCATCCTCGCCATTCCCCACCGTTCGTCTATTGTGGCGTTGCCGAACTTGGGGCATTCTGGTAGGCCATGGCTAGTACCACAGGATCTGCAATTTGGTTTCGCCGTAGCATCTCGTGAAATGACGTGTGTGTTGGTCCAAGGCTGGTACTTTGGATATTCCCGTACAGGGCTTTGGGCTTGGCTAGTACCGGGCTTGTTTGCTCGGTTGCTTTCCCGGATGAGTCGGCCGAATCTGCTGTCAGCTATCTTCGTTTGCCTGTCTAAGTATTCAGTCAGGTCTTCGAAGTTGGCTTCTCTGTCGCCTCGGCTTATCCGTTCAGCTTCTTCCGCCCACCGACCCTGTAGTTCGGGAGAGAAGTGACGGACTATGCCTTCCAAAGTGTGCATGGCGTCTAGGTCAGCCCTGTAACCTAAATGGTCGAGGGCTATTGAGCAGTTCTGCATCTTGATCACCAGGTCGGCCATGGTGTAGACGTCGCCCTTGGTTCTCTTTGCCTCTGCCATCACGCCCTCTATTAGGTTACGGGCTACTTTGAAAGGTTGCTCAAACAAGTCCCTCAGAATCTTTCTTGCCCTTGTGTAGCCTTGTTCTGGATCGAGCATGGTGCATCCGTCGATAGCTTCTCGCGCTCGGCCTCGGCAGTAGTGAGTAAGGTAAAGAAGCCTTTGCCCAGGGTCGGTTACCTTGTTTTCAACGAACGTCTCGAACTGTTTGACAAACTTGCAGTATTGCTCAGCTCGCCCGTCGAAAACCGTTAACTCCACTCTAGGCAGATCGATCGATGGTGGTTTGTATTCGGCGACCGGCGTGGGGTTCCCTACCTTATTGCACTCTAACCTATCGGAAGTGTCGAAGTCACTGGTCTCATGCTCTCGCTGTTTCTGTGTACACTTCTCTGCTTCATGCGCCTGTAGTCTAGCCGAAAGTAACTGTTGCTCTAGTTCTAGTATTCTCAGCTTATAGAAATCGACATCCTTACGATCAATATTGCTTTCAATAACACATGAGCTAGCACTGACAGGACTAGGCGATCTAGCATTAACTAAAGAATCATACGTACCCAAAACCTCCCCAGAGACTTGCCGTATTACTTCCTGTCCGGGTTCGACTGCTTTTGATCCTTTTCTTGGCATTTTGCGTGAATTTTCCTCGTTCCAAATAGATCTATTGAGTATTGTTACGAACGTTTGAGCAATGCATAGCCAAATTCGCAACGGATCCCGAAATCAGAAGGCGATTATCCGTGATAATTCTACGATACTAGATTATTAAAATAAACAATGACATAAACAATATACAAACCTCAATAATACGATCACAAAGACTCAACAACGAGAAACCGAATAGCAGCGTGTGAGCAGACAGCACGTGCGTCACGCAGGTCCTGAACAAGGATGTGCCAAAATAGCGCTCTGGGCGCGAACAAACAACAATTGGTTCAGAAAAACAACCAGTTCGTAAAGACAAGTCAATAGTGTATGGAAATGAGTGATGTTGGGAAAAACCACTGAATCGCGAGGGGAAAAAGGGGGATTTTCCACGACCGGCTGTTACAGTGGGGTACTAGTAGATCTGGCGCTGATACATCCTCCTCAGTTAAACGAGCTAGATCTTTCAGAGGAATGCGTGCGTAAGTACCTACAGGAGTTAAACAGCCACAAGTCAGCGGGCCCAGATGGCATTCATCCAGCTATCATCAAGCCGTTGGCGGATATCATATCTCCATCGGTATGCAGATTGTATAGATCCACGTTGGACCAGGGAAAGCTGCCTCAGGACTGGAAAGTCGCGGCAGTCGTGGCAATACATAAGAGTGGGCCTAAGTCGGATGTGCAGAACTACAGGCCGGTAAGCCTAACTAGCATTCTCTGTAAAGTTCTCGAGAAGATCATCCGTGCCCATATCTGCCAGCACTTACTGCAGCACTCCATGCTAAGCCCGGCGCAGCATGGATTCCTGAAAAATAGATCTTGCCTGACCAATCTCCTGTGCTTCGTAGATGAAGTAACTCGACGACTGGACGAAGGTAAGCATGTTGAGGTATGTTACCTCGACTTTAGCAAGGCGTTCGACTCCGTTAATCATCGTCTTTTGCTATGCAAGATGGAGACTTTCGGGATAGGTGGGCCAGTACATGGGTGGCTGGAGGACTTCCTCTCCCACAGGACGCTTTATGTCAAAGTGGGGGACAGGTGCTCCAGTTTGGTGAACGTCACCAGTGGTGTACCTCAGGGATCCGTCTGTTACGAACGTTTGAGCAATGCGTAGCCAAATTCGCAACGGATCCCGAAATCAGAATTCGATTATCCGTGATAATTCTACGATACTAGATTATTAAAATAAACAATGACGTAAACAATATACAAACTTCAATAATACGATCACAAAGTCTCAACAACGAGAAACCGAATAGCAGCGTGTGAGCAGACAGCACGTGCGTCACGCAGGTCCTGAACAAGGATGTGCCAAAATAGCGCTCTGGGCGCGAACAAACAACAATTGGTTCAGAAAAACAACCAGTTCGTAAAGACAAGCCAATAGTGTATGGAAATGAGTGATGTTGGGAAAAAACACTGAATCGCGAGGGAAAAAGGGGGATTTTCCACGACCGGCTGTTACACCGTCCTAGGCCTGGTCCTATTCTTGTTATTTATTAATGACCTAGCATCCACTCTTCAATCGCCTGGCTTTATTTTTGCGGATGATGTGAAGATTGTTGGATCTAAGGGTAGGGCGGACTTGGGCAGGGAAATAGGCACCGTCCTAAACTGGGCATACAAATGGGACTTACCTCTAAACGCTCAAAAAAGCCATTTGTTGTCAAGGGCAACAGAGAGCCTAACTGTCGCTCATGATCAAGGGCTGTTCAACGTAGAGGCAGCCAGTAGGGTTAAAGACCTGGGGATCATCATGAACAGTGACTTCAAATGGTCGGAGCAATGCAACGCGGCTGCGCATAAGGCTCGTGGGGAGCTCTTTAGACTGCGATCGGCTTTGTCTTGCCGGAAGCCGGAGGTATTCGTACCTATTTACATGGCTATAGTACGACCTCACTTAGAAGGTAATGTGCAGGCTTGGTCACCCTTCTACAAAAAGGACGCCGCCTGCCTCGAGAAAGTCCAACGTCTCGCCACGCGGATGGTTGAAGGGCAGAGGGGTAAGACTTACGAGCAGAGACTCTGTGACCTGAATCTCTTCTCGTTGGAAAGGAGGAGAAGTCGAGGAGATCTCATAGAAACGTTCAAGGTAATGAAGGGATTTTCTGGCCTTAGACCAGATAGTCTATTCCAATTGGCCGTAGACTCCAGAACAAGGGGACACGAAAAGAAGTTGATAAAAGCCCGATCTAGGTTGATGGCTAGATCGCACTTCTTCAGCAATAGGGTTGTGAACAGTTGGAACGGTCTGCCTGGTGAAATGGTAGATCTGCAGACAGTCCAATCCTTCAAATGTGCCCTTGATCGCAAGTGGTACGAGATCTTTCCTTGTAGTGAGCCTTAAGAATATCAACTAGATGGATGACGGGTAGCACTGTGGTCCTTCTGGAGTATGTTTTAGCAGACTTTTTCCCTCATTGCATACTGTCTCAGTGAACGCTCACGATGCATAATGTCTCTCGCAGTTGATGTGCGATGAGGTTTTCCGTTTCCCTCTCATTTTTAGTGGGGATTCGACGAAATACACTCGGCAGTGGTGGGTGCATGACTGGTGTGCATACCATCGAAGGAATTCTGGACGCTCGATTGGCCGTGGCCATTACCTGTCCTGTGCAGACTGAACTGAACTGAACTGAACTGTCTGGTGAAAGTGCAAGCGCTAGCCACTAGAATGGTGGCTGGGCAAAGGGGGTTTAACTACACAGAGCGTCTCCGTGCCCTAGACCTGTTCTCGATGGAAAGACGGCGCATTCGCGGGGGTTCGATGGAAACCTTCAAGGTAATGAAGGGACTGTCAGGAATAAGACGAGAAGACCCTTTCTGTCTGATCCCCGAGAGAGGTACAAGGGGGCATAGCCTCAGATTACAAAGGAAGCATTCGAGGCTCCAAATTAGGGCGAAGTACTTCTCAAATAGAGTGGTACCCTATTGGAATAAGCTCCCGGAAGAGGTCATAAACACTACAACAGTGAAGGCTTTTAAGAAAGCAGTAGACCTATGTTGGGTGGCAGTATACCCCGAGTTATGTTAAGCAGCTTTTAGGGTCAGATGCAATTTACTTATTGCTTCCACCTTACTCTGCCAGGGCTGATACTGCACAAAATTTCTGCCTTTCAGAAAAAGGAAATCACGCAGTGTTGGGAGCTACGGAAACGCGCCGACAACACAACTATCTGGACACACGATTAGCTTTAGCCACACCAAGTCCTGTGCAAACTGAACTGAGCTGATCTGAACTGACCTTGAGGTCGTTTGTGCGAAAATATCAGGGGATCGGTCAGCATGCTTTCGTCAATGCTGGATGAGTTTCAGGGTTACTACGGCCTATTTATAGAAGAAATCGACAAGCTACAGTTCCCAGAGGACGAGAAAGGCTATTTCAAAACGGTATGTTCCGGCCAGAAAGTTCAACTAGAACAACACTAATTGCTGTTGATGTTTGGCGCATTTAGATTCAAAAACTGAAATCAGAATCTCAATTGATCCTCATTCAGTACATGGTTAGAGTAGTGAATGGTAATATTATCGTTGCCAACCAAGCAGGTCATTGTCTATGGTGCTGTGGGAAAGTGAGGGCAGCTTACCCTTGTAGCAAGACCGCTCCGAATTCGGTCGGTTTTCGAGCGGTTTCTGAGTGATTTCTAAACGGTTGGAATCTTGAAGCCTTGAAATAATACTCGGGTACAAGGCTAAAGCCCAAATGTTCCCGGATCTTGTAATTATCTTGTTATCTGAATGTTACCGGCTGTAAGATAGTTCACTAGATAGTAGGGAAATTCGAAAATAGAGAAGGTTTCAAAATACAAATATTGACTGTATCCTGCATCTGGTATTGCGGGTGAACTGGAAGATAGACCACTGGAAAATGCAAGGGGGTTCATGACACTAGTCTTGACTGCATCTGGTGTCTTGAATAGCCAGGGATCTGGAAGATAGACCTTTGGACCGTGGGAGAAGTTCAGCTTTGCTGCAGTCCGTTCAGCTTGAGTGGCACGAAGGATTCCATTGTGAGAAATCTGTCAGACATCAAACAGCGAGATTTTCGGACCGCGCGTGGCGCGCTGCCTTGCGCGGTTTATGCCAGTGTTGTGTAATACGTAAGATGATTGGTTAATTTCTGTCACTTTTCCGAAGTTACATTTTCCCTTGCTCAGTTTCATCTCCCAAGCTATAAGTTTGTAATATTTGTCCTTATTTTGCCCGTTTTAAGCGCATAAAATAGAACGATCTATAACTCGGTATTTAAGGATGTTTCAGTGTATTCAAGTAAGTTTATTGAAATAAAATGCTCATCAAAGAGTTCACATTACTCCGGTTGTCGATTTGCTTATCAATTCTGTGAAAAACGGCTGCTAAACAAACCGGTTGGAAACCGTTCGAAAGCCGATGTGAAGAATGGACTGTGCGCTATAAGGATAAGGTAGAAATGTGTGGTGTGAAACCTAAAAGTAGTAACGGGCAAATTCAAGGGGTAGTCTTCAAGTAAAGGACAGTGGAAAACCATCCCATATGAGCCCTGTCACATTGCATTCTATTGACTCGGCTAGATGTTAGTGCTCTCTGCCGATACTCCTTCTGTGTATTGTTTAGCTTCCCACCACGTCGGTTGGCAGACCGTTTTCTTTCATTTCCCCCTCTAATTTTACATCACTTCGATTCACTCAGCACATGTATGCGAAAACTAGAAACTCCAGCATCATCCACGTAGTCAACAACACGGCAGCCTTGGCAGTGAACCAACGAAAGTAAGTGGAGTGGATGACTCTGACCTACTCGACCGCTTGTTTCGACAGCATGGACGTTCCCATTCCCAAACATTTAAACTTTAATTGATCTTGCATCACGACTGTGTGATTACCTCTATTATGAGAGATGTAATAATTATTTCCGGTAGAATGTGGGGGCTATGCCTGAACCTACTTTCAACTATTTGTGGCAGTACAACACACATTTCATCCAAGTGTACTAAGAAGAGTCTAGAACATCGTCCTACACCAATGACTCATATCCATCTAAATCCGAAAATGGAAATTACCCTGTGTACTGTATGCCTCTCCATATACGATGTTCTAGGTTGCGTCAATGTTTCACCATCGACACACTAAATATCCCATTGCTATGTAGTTTCATCGTTCGGTGGGGTTGTTGTGACACTCATCTTCCGTCATTTATATGAACGACCTGTGCATCTGACCTCCCCTCGCAACTCCAGTCGCTCCAGCCCACAGTTGAAAATCGGAAAGCAACAGCACAACGCGCCAAATGAATGTATTCGCATGAGTAAACGGCACGTCAGTGCATAAATCATTTAAAACTAACAGACGTATCTGGGGGTAAAACGTGTTTTGAGCCCGAGAGATACAAAACACTGCTCACGAGAGCTGCTTCTGACACGTGTAGGTTCCTTGTTTTTTTATTATACATAAAGTGAATTACGGTATAAGGGGTAAACCCCACAATCAAAAGACACTAAAAGTGGGTTGAGGGGGAACACTCACGCTAGAACCATTTTATTGATCCTGTTTTTAAAGAGGGAAAGGTTGTAAGTGGGTGGGAAAACAGGAAGACAAAGAGTGTTCCATAACTTAACGGCCCCGGGGAATAAAAAAAGAATTGACAGATAGAAGTGCGACACCTAGTGTCAGAGACTTGATAGGGATGACTAGTTGCCTGGGTACGTGATAAACGGGGAAGCGTTTTGGGAAGAGGAACCGCCGAAGCAAGCTCAGAAGAACAAAATCCAAAATAGTACGGGTAGAAGAGTGACAACGAAGCAACAGCCCGATGACTGCAGATTGGAGGTTAAAGAAGGGTCGTCGATCAGCCGGGTGACCTTTCGTTGAACCGGATCAAGAGAAAGAGAGGTAGACGAAGCCCCACCCACACGTGACTGCAGTATTCAAGTGCGGGGCGGACTTGAGCTTTTTACAGCAGAAGATGAGCTGGTATGAAGAAGCGTCTGGCACGAAACAGAAAACCAACTTTGCGCGCAGCACAAAAAGTGAGCTAAGATATGAAGGCGGACCAACATAGAGAGGAAGTTATAGATAGGCCAAGAAGAAAAATAATCCATGGCAGGCAGCACAGTTGAATCAAAGGATAAATTAGGGGACAATCAATGATGTTTCAGTGAAATTGAGAGAAGAGAAGTTTTGGAAGCAATACGTGCAACATGGTTGCGGGATCCCTAGGAGATGTGTTCGAGATCGGAATCCAAAGATGCACTGATTGCACTGCGGTCACGGTCGATGTTGGTGTTGGCATGGTGGGGAGTGCGGTAAGACAGGGAAGAATGAAGGGTAGCATCGTCGGCAGAGGAATGGAATGGTTGGAAGTAGTGCATAAAAGATCATTAATAAATAAAAGAAACAGAGTGAGCGCAAGTACTGAACCTTGGGGAACATTAGCATTCACAAGAAATGGCTGGAGCAGAACCACATCAATTCGGACGGAGATGGTTCGCTTACTGAAGAAACTTGATGTCCACGATACGAGTGCGGAGGGGAACCCGAAAGATGGCAGTTTTATCAGAAGACTTCGGTGCCAAACTCGGTCAAAGGCCTCAGAGATGTCGAGTGACACCGTGTGTGTTTCTCCGTGATTGTCGAGTGCAGCCGACCAGGAGTGTTAGACGAGAGCTAGGATATCACCGGTGGAACGGCGAGGTCGGAATCCATATGGGCGATCGCTCAGTAGTCCTTCGCGTTGGAGAAACGCACGCAATTAGTCGGAGATGACAGTTTCAAGTACTTTCGAAAAAAAACAGGTGAGATGGAAATAGAAGGATAGTTTTCCGGGTCAGAAGGGTCGCCACGTTTGGGAATAGGAACAATCACCGATTGTTTCCAGGGAATCGGAAAAGTAGAAAGCTACAGAGAGAGAAAGAGACAAAAAAGACGACGCAAGAGAGGGGCCAATTCAGGGGCACATTTTAAGGACGATGGATGGTACACCGTCCGGACCGGGTAGTTTGGATACGTCCAGAGAACGCAGCGCTTGGCGGATCTTCCTAGTGCTAATGAGGTTGAAAATGGGAGACAGGGAAGAGAAGGAACCGGAGGAGTAGTATAAGTGGGTAAGGTGGAGTTGGAGGCAAACCGGGATGCAAAAACCTCGGCTTTCTCGCGTGGTTCACAAACAAGATCACCAGATGAATTACAGATGGGAGGGAAATTGGAAGGGCAAACATTGCCGGCGACTGTTTTGGCAAGGGACCAAAATGTTTGGCTACCGGTGGTTGATGAGAGTAAGCGTTCGGCATTCCAGCGGACGAAGTGTTCTTTGACTCTCTGTATGGTTAACGAGCATGTGTTCCTGGCTTGCAAGAAGCGGCGAGTCGGGAGTGGGCGAGCGGCGCCAGTGGCGAAATGTTGCACGCTTCAGATGTACAGCACGATAGCATGCGTGGTTGAACCACTCGAGGGATTCGGGTTTGCTGGGTTTGGAAAAGTGAGGAATAAAAAGTTGCATACCTTGAAGAACAATGTCAGTGAAGTTAGAAACAGAAACGGAAACGTCCGAGGTAAAGCAGCAATCATTCCAAGAATAGGAGGCTAGGAAATCGCGAAAACCATCCCAGTTGGCTGAACTGTAACGCCAAAATATGTGTCTCGAAATGGGTGGAGGATCAGGGCGGGTAAAACTGATAGATCAGGAAATAATGCAGTGGTCAAATGAGCTAAGTGGAGGGAGAGCAGAGATGTCTGAGAACAGAGAGGGAATAAAAGTGATAACAAAATCAAGGGTATGGACACGATCGCCAGCCCGATCAGAAATACGTGTGGGAAGGTCAACAAGTTGGCACAGGTTGTTGACCACGTCGAAATGTTCGGCTTCGCGCTCCAGAGCCGAAACGTCTGATGAGTGAATCGGCCAATCTCGATTGTGAACATTAAAATCTCCTAGGATGGTGATAAGGCAGTTTGGATCCGTAACAAACAAGTGCTCCGTGTTCGAAGATAAGAGGTCAAAGACCGATGGATCGCTACTGTTGGGTGAATGGTAAACAACGCATAAGTAGTGATTAAAATAAGGAAGTTGGACTTTCAGCCAAATCAACTGAAATTCACGACTGGAAAAGTCAAGATTCTGGATGTGGCGATTGACTGATAGACAAAGGCACAGACGCCACTTTTGGGTGAAAAGTATAGTTGGGAAATTGGAGGTAAGTGGTGTTTGATGAGGGGGAGATTTGGGTTTCGGTCAAAACTAGGGCAAGAGAAGAGGAAGACGGAAGAAATTGGTGCACAGAATCAATATCATGGTTCATTCCGCGAATGTTAGTGAGGGTGATGAGTTCGTGCTTGTTTTCCGAGTGAGCAGAGCGAGCAAAACAACGAGTGCGTGTATCGTTGTATATTTTCATGATTTGTAGTGTGAAGGAAACTGGAAACCATGATCCTGAGACTTAAAGGACTTACTTACTTTTACTTTTACGCGACTATCTCCTGCGAGAGGATAAGTCGGCTCCATTGATATCAGGGACCATTGCTGACCACGCGCGGCGGTCGGAGGCGAGCTCCGTAGAGTTGTTGAATTGTCGGGCCCAGATGGGTTGTGAAAGCTTTTGTTTTGGTCGAGTTTACTTCAAGTCCTATGGATCTTGCGAAGGAATTGATTCGGTCGAGGATTGGTTGTAACGTAACGGAGGAGTCTCCAAGCACGACAATATAATCCGCGAACTCCAGGTCCGAGATCTATATTTTCTTTATAAGCTGAACGCCAGGGTAGTTGTGTAATGCCTGTCGCATTGTCCAATCGATGCCGTAGTTGAACAGCACCAGTGAGAGGGGACAGCCCTACCTAACTCCGGTAATGAGTGTGAACTCTTGGGACTCTTCACCGTACATACGAACCCTAGCACCGGTTGTCGAGTAGTATCCCCTTAACAGCCTTAAAAGCTTATCGGGCATCCCGTCGGATTGGATTATGGTCCAAAGAGACTCGCGGTTCACCGAATCAAAAGCTGCCCGGAAGTCGATGAAACAAGCTACCGTCGGCTGCTAAAACTTATAGCGGTGCTCCAGTATTCGGCGCAATGTGAAGATTTGGTCGACACAGCTTGTGCCACGGCGGAAACCTTCTTGGTTCGGGAGAATGCGCCGGACTCTTGCCTCGGAGAAACCGGTTGGTACCAACGCACCAGAGATCTTTGCGGCCACATCCGTCGGACTGATCCCTCGGTAGTTCTCACATACCGATTTATCACCTTTCTCAGGAATGGGATGCAGAATGGACATTCTTCAATCGGGTAAAAATGCTTCCTCTCGTCAAATGGAGCCAAAAAGTGTACACAACCTGTCAATCAATGACGATGAACATGCTTTATACACTTCTGGAGGGATGCCATCTTCCCCAGCAGCCTTTCTGTCTTTCAGTTTGTTTATCATTTCCGTGATTTCCGCTGTGTTTGGTGGGTCACAGTTGCTTTCGTACTGGACTGGAGGGGTTGATATTGGTTGGTCCGTCCGGTAGTCCGCAGGCCGGTTGAGCAGCTGACCAAAGTATTCCACCCATCGGTCCATTTTACTCTGTTCGGGTATTAAGTTTCCTGCTGTGTCACGAAGAAGGGAATTTTGCTTACAAAACCTATTAGAGGCGTTGCGAATAAGGCGGAACAGTTTACCGAAGTTACCAATTCCGGACGCGGTCTCCATTTTTTCGGCTATTTCTATCCAGTATCTTTTGCGATCAGCCTTGGCGGAGCGTGTGGCCTGTCGTTGCAGTCTGCGGCGTTCGTTGCTAC